GAGGCAGCCACGGAATGGACCACACCATACTGTGCAAATACTGGGGCTGAGGGGAGCCAAACCCACAGCGTGTGCTCAGCACACCCTGCACGTGGTTGGTGTCCAGTTGGATTTTTTGTCATCTCTGTGCTGTCCATGTCCTGTGTCTTCCACATGCTCCGAATGTGCTTATTTCCATGTCTTTCTGACTCCCTCAGCCCTGCCCGCCAAGTTCACAAAGGGTCTAAGGAAGGAAGAGGCCACAGAGGGGGCCACAGCCACACTGCGCTGTGAGCTGAGCAAGGCGACCCCCGTGGAGTGGAGGAAGGGGCCTGAGACCCTCAGAGCCGGGGACAGAGTCAGCCTGAGGCAGGACGGGGCCGTTTGTGAACTGGAGATCCGTGGCCTGACTGTGATGGATGCTGGGGAGTACTCGTGCGTGTGTGGGCAGGAGAGGACCTCGGCCACGCTGACTGTCAGGGGTAAAGACTATGTGTGGCCGGGCACAGCTGTGTTTTGGCGTCCAATTATTGACCTCCTGACATCTGTCTGCATGCGTTCCATGTTCTCTCCCCATCTCAGTGTCACCCTCTTCCCAGAACTCCATGGAATTTCTTCTGCCTTCCTGGGCTGTTGTAGAAGCCATGAGAAGCCAGCGTCTAAGCCACTTCCCAGCCCTCGTGTTACCACTGGTTCAGTCCTGTAGGAGTCCATGTCTTTTCCTCTGTCCTGTCATGTCCTGCCTCAAAAGTTCTCCAGAGAATCTGATGTTTTGTGTGTTTCTGACCCTTCCCCGCCCTGCCTGCCAGATTCATACAAAGTGTGAGGCCTGTGGCAGCCACAGAATGGACCCCAGCCATACTGTGCACATACTGTGCTGAGGGAACGCATAACCCACAGAGTTGCTCAGCACACCCAGCACTGTGTCCACTTGGATTTTGTGTCATCTCTGTGCTATCCATGTACTGTGTCTGCCATGTGCTCAGAACATGGTTGTTACCATGTCTTTCTGACTCCCTCAGCCCTGCCCGCCAAGTTCACAAAGGGTCTGA